GTGTGTGTGTGTGTGTGTGAGTGCTTTCTGGTCTGCGTGCCTGTCTGAGTGCTTGTCGCTTGATAGAATCCCGCAGAGTTGCCCACCATCAAGGTGATTGTTGGGTATAGGTATCAAGGTGATTGTTGGGTATGGGTATATTTCTCATTTTATGTATGAAAATTTAAAAACAGTAATAAAATACTACGGCATTATCATGAATGTTCTGCGGAGGATGGAAGACCTATGAGCTTTTTGGTTTTTTTTTTTTAATGTATCAAATTTGCTATTAAATCCTATCCCTAAGCAGCATCGGCCGCTGGGGGAAGGTCCATGACGCGCTGTGTGCCGGATTCGGGTCGAAGTTTTGGTGAGGGGCAGCAGATGAAGGCGATCGAGGGCGGGGGAGTGTGGAGAGGGGTGCATGTACCGAAATGTTCACAGCGCGCCATTAAACGAGAGCGCGCGGCCCGGGGCCAGGGCACACGGCTGGCGTTGATGCGGACGAACAGCTTGGAGGCGAGCCATCCGATGTGCGGGCGGCTTTTTTTTTTGTTTGTTTTCCCCTGTTGGCCGTCGTTTTGTGTCCCCCTTCTCCCCTTTTCCTTTCTCGCGCCTGTTGTTTTGTGTCCCCCTTTTTTTTTCTTTTTTTTTCTTTTCCTTCCTCCTATTGCAAGGAACATGAGTATGGACGAAGCACAGAAATCCAGAATGCAAAATCACACTGAAGTCCAAGTATTCAAAGCCAAAGCAGATAGTACAATGGAACCGAGTAACCATTCAATTGAGAATGATACAGAAGAATCGTGAGTCAATGTCCATGCCCAACAGGGCAACACCAACAGCATAACCCAGATGTAGCTCTCTCTTGTGAATGGCGCCAGGCGCCCTATCTACTCTACAGCCTATCCTACAACTACAGCAATGAAAAGCCACCAGACAACTTGACTACCAGCGAGTGATGATGTCAACACCAATGCCGTATCTCCACCATCATCAGGTACGTGTCCTCTTCCCCACACTCTCCCTTGTTACCCACACAGCGCCCTTCACCTCTGAAGACCACCTTCGCCCTTTACCCCTTTGCGCCCTCTGCAGCCCGGCTATGGCCGCCAAGCGCCCTGTATGCAGGCAGCGCCCTACCGCCTAGTGCTGGCCTGCTTGCTCTTAGC